TGAGAGAGAGAGAGGGAGAGAGAGAGAGAGAGAGAGAGAGAAAGAGAGAGAGAGGCGGAGAAAATGGAAATATACACTGCCACTTCTTTTTTTTTTTTTTTTTGAAGACACATACTTTATAAATTCAAATAATCTCTTAGGCGGGCCACCTCACATAAAGACCGGGAAGTCTGGGAGCATTGTCCAGCTACAATCGAGGTAATCCCTCAGATCGCCCCCTATCTAGCCTACCATGGCCGTTTGGGGGGGCGGACTCAGGTTGCCAATTATTCCTACTCCATTATTTGAATCTTTCTGAGGGAACTAAAAACTCCATAGAGATAGATCTCTGAGAATGTCAGTTGTCGAGGATWACAAGTGTAGCCTTCCGATTTTCCAAGAGAGAGGAAAAAACCAAGTCGCCTGCTAGAGTGGGAATGGCCCAACAGAAAGGGAAGCTCCATTTAACCTTAAACCTTTTCGTCCTAATCTCAGGGCTGGTGACCGACTTATTAATCCTACGCCAATCAGCTAAAATAATATCCTTCATACCTTGAAGCATAAGAAATTTCATCGATTGGAAAGTTACCGGGGGAGTGTTGAATCTCTGAGAATTCCTTGCCCTCCATATGACCCAGAGTCCCAAGGCTCGAGCAATCCAGGCTGGGTAGGAGGCTTTGCACTTGGAGAGACTGTCTCCCAGAGTCCCAGGAGCAGAGCCTGTTTGTTCCAAATGAGTTCCGCTGATTCTTCGCTGTATGCTTTAGTCCAGATTCCTTTCCACCATTGCCAGAAGGTCTGGGCTACTGGACAATGCCACCAGATATGGCTGATATCTTCTATAGAACCAGAGTCACAGGAATCACACAACAGCGAGACCTTCATTCCTTTCGTGACACACCACTTCCCTGTGGGCACACTCAACATATGGATCAGCCATAACAGGCCTGCATGTTTAACCACTGGGAGGGAGCGGATGGCTTTACCAAAGTTGCGGCATTGATCGAATTGGATGAAAGACATTCCTTCCACCTCTGCATAATTATCCCATGCCGCTTTGGTCGTGGAGGAAAGTCTGTTCGCCTTGGACTGGAGTCTGTAGCGTACCGACACCTGATAATCCAGAAGTGGGGTGTCTTTTCCTTCTTTAGATGCCCATTTCCAGCCAATGTTCAGCGGATTAACCTTGGCCTGTAGGAGAGGGATACCATTGAGACAGAGCTAAGGCGATAGCCTTTCCTTCCCGTTAATGATAACAAGCTCTTCTCTTACCAGTATTTGCGTATACTCCTCCCTGTTGATTTCTGAAACATGCTCTTCTTCCTTGGACAGCCCGCCGTTGACGTTGCGCTTCCAGAAGACTGATTTGCAGATTCCATCGGGGCAGACTTTAATAATTTGATGACAGCCTTCCTCTCCTACCTTTGCAGAGACCCACTTGCCTTTGGTTATACCATTGCTTTTCAGCAGGTCAAGCCATGGCTGTGGGATTGCTGCAATCAGCTTCGAAAGGAGGGACTGAGAGTTGGGAAGAAAACTCAGTGTCTGTTGAATTTCTGAAAAATCTCTCCAATCCTAGCATCTACATTCCAAATATGTCTATAATTGATATATACCTTTACAAACCCAGGACTTACTCAGAGATTTATCGGAGATGGGAAAGGAACACCCATAGGGACTTCTAACTGCCGGATTTTCAAATAGGTTCTGGCATAAGACCTCCTCTGTTGCAGACGGCCATTTAATGACAGATGGGAAAAGATGTTGCCACGCTTTCAGAATCGGTGCCCAGATGCGTGATTTGACTCTCATTTTTAGGAATCCTTTCATAAAGAAGCAGGCCCAGACACTATCCGGAACCGTGAGTCCCCACTCATTCATCAGGATCTGCATTGCCAACATGATCCAAGGTCGATCGGAATCTAGAGTGAGAATTCGTATAACCCATTTAACCAGCAGGGCTCTATTCTAAAAAAGAATATCTAGGAGGCCCAGGCCTCCATCGTTCCTTTTCAGGGTGACTTTCCACCATGCCACCTTGGGCAGGCCTTTGCCGTTTCCTACTGAGCCTTTCCACAGGTAGGTGGATAACTGCTGTCTGAGGAACTGTTCTGTGGACGAAGGGATGGGTCTAATGGATAAAATATACCAGATGGTTGATAAAACCATGGTATTGATTATGATGGCTCTACCAAATAGAGAGATGGACCATGCATTAGACCAGGAGGTGAGTCGAATCATTACCCGATCCTAGATGATCTCTCCTTGTTTCCGTTCGTTGTCTCCATAAGAGACTTCAATCCCCAGGAATCTTTCAGAATGGTCCCGATCTCTAGTCTGCATACCTAGGTCCACAGTGAGTGGTGTGTTGTCCCTAGTTAGAGCAACGGATTTATCCCAGCTGACTTTCGCTTCCGAAGCTTTGTAGAAAAAGGTCTAGAGATTCCCTAACAGCTACGAGTGACTGAGCAGAGTTTTCCGAAATCACTGCTAGGTCGTCTGCTAAAGCTGAGGCCTTTAGCTCAAAGCATGTCGAGACCTGCAGGCCTCTTACCTGAGAATTCTAGATAAGATCTAAGAGGACATCTTGCTGTAGCACGTAGAGTAGCGGAGCTAAGAGACAACCCTGTCTCAAAGAGCGAGACAGTGCAAAGTGGGATGACTTCCTGCCATTAATCACTACTGAAGCGTTGGACCCTGTGTACAGCTTTCTCACCCAGTTACAAAACA